GTGCTCGTGGAATTATTGACCCAACTTCACTTAGTACCAGAAGCCAAACACTTGCACTAAGACTATGACAACTCCTGCCCTCGCTAACATCATCTAAGCAAGGAGTAGCCAAGGAAACATCAAACACACGCTTTAAAAGGTCTATTCAGTAGAAAGCACAACAGGGAACTGAACCACCAGTACTGTCTAACAAATACCATCTAAAAATCTCTACAATGGAAGCCTAGCAAATGACAGACTGTCTTGCAATTATTAGGGAATCTCTGACTTGCTGAGTCAAAGGGACAATGTGAACATCCAATCCCTAATGAGATATGCCGGGACACTTGTTATGCAGAGTACAATTCTGATCAACTTATGATATCATCTTCATAAATCTGACACTATAAAACACTACCTTTCAAGGCAGCACGAAACATAACAAATCAACCAATAGTAACCTCTGGCAGAAAAGCGGTCTTTTCACACCCCTAACTGATGCATCTTCAACAGCAGTACTTTCTAGTGAAGAACAGGGCTTCTCAAACTTTATTTGGACATAAAAGTTTCCAGCTTTCTGCTAAGTCACACAAATGGAAAGTAGAAAGCATTTAGTTGTTCAGATGGCATTCATATTTTACTCGGGAAGAAGCTGGAGCGTAACCTAGAAGACCTTGATATAATGTTAGAACTCCTTAGATAACATCCAGTAGTGGTGTACATCAGTATTATGGAAACCGTGAAATACTAAATTTAATCGCTGTCACATTACACAAGTGTGTAATCGCTGTGTTACACAAGTAACAGACAAACAGCTGTTTTGAGGCAGCTAAGCATTCCCATCCATTCTAGCTACTACCTGACAACCAGTATTTTTTCCTTCTGCGATGGAAAGTCCGCAAATACAACTTTTATTTCTAATATCTAGCAAAAATAAAGACTGCACATTAACTTTCCTGGGAATTTAAGTTTCTGACTATACCACCAAAATTGCTGGTAAATTATTTCTCTATACATTTAAGCCTAAATTTGAATACTGCTAATATCTTTTGTCTTTCCAAGGAAAAATCCTTAAGCCATCAGATTTTTACATTTTCAGGGAGAATATTTATATCGACACTACTTGAAAAAAATATTCAGGATCACTTCCAGCGCCTCATGGTATCTTTCATTTGGTTTTAGTTGGCATGAAACCTTTAACAGATGGAATTAAGATAATAGGATGGGGTTAAAATACTTCCCACCCAGATCTGACCAATTATGGATGGTTGATATAATATGGAAGCCATCCATCCAGGAAAAAGGCTACTCAGTTAAAATATCATTTTAACATCACAAGAAAAAATGATTGCATTTATCGTGGTAATGATATTAGCTTAAGTCTTAAGTCTTGACTGGCACATAACGAGAAATTTTCTTACTTCACAAAATGGATGCTACAGTAGAAATAAACAGTGAGACAAGAGATCCTTTTATTATCAGATTTTCCTTTTATTATCAGACGAGAGTGTATTCACCTGACCTTCCATAACTGTTTGATGTGAGAGAAGAGGAAATTTCCACATTAAGTATAGTGTCCCAAAGGAGCAATATGAGATGGCAACCTGCCCAATACTCTATTGTCTTTCAGGTCGCAAAAGTTTGTTTAAATCTTTGTAAGGTTCATAATGAAGAGCACAAAGCTATAGTTCATCAAACTAACAGAATAAGACTAATGAAGTACAGTTTCATGATGTTTAGTGTACTCTTTCAGGAAATAACCCAGGTTACAATAAGAGAGTATTAGAGTCATAGCATAATGCAACGTTGGAAGGCTCTCTGAAGATGTCTGGTCCAATCGCCTGCTCAGAGCAGGTGCCATTAGAGCAGATTGCTCAGGGCCTTATACAGATGAGCTCTGAGTATCTCCAAGGATGGAGACCTATCTGGGCCCCTCTCATGTTTGACCACCTTCAGGTGGAAATTTCTCTAACATCTAATAGGAATTTCCCTTGTCGCTGCTTGTGCCCATTGCCTCTCGTGTCTTCAGGTGCACGGCTGAGAAGAGTCTGTCTCCATCTTCTCTTCCCACCCCCAATAGGCAGCTGCAGACCTCAGGAAGGTCTCCCCTTTGCCACTTCTCCTCCGGGCTGAGCAAACCCCACTATCGCAGCCTTTCCTTGTATGTTCTGTGCTCCAGCCCCAACTATCTCAATGGCCTTCATGAGACCTGCTCCGATACTGCAATGTCTTTCTTGTAGTGGTGAGTCCCAAACTGGACCAGTAACCAGATGAGTCTCACCAGTGCTGAACAGAGGGGAGCCATCCCTTCCCTTACTCAGTTGGCTTCACTTGTGCCATCACAGCCTGGGATGCGGTTGGACCTTTTCTGCAAAGCTGCTTTCTCTTTCGGTGGATCCTCCATCATCATCATCCCCTGTCCGTCCAGCTCTTGCAGGCTTTTTCCTCTCAGCAATTTTCTTGATATTATTATTTGATTTCTAACCAACTTCAATTGGCAAACTTTCTGTTAAAAAACGAAGACTTCCTTTCATGGTGAATGCACATGCAAGTCTGGGGGGATCAACCTGTGCCTGTATATTTTCTTCTCTTGAACAGCATGCACACTGCACTGTGTACTACACAGCTAAGAGGAAGAACGAAGCACTGGTAATTATCTAACACACTGCTTTCTGCAAAGAACTTGTACCTGCTAAGCTATATTTTGTTCAATGCTCTGGACACAGAAGACAAGCAGCAAAGCTTGTCAGATATATAATTCCTGGTGTGGGCTTCACTGACTCAAGTGCAGTTATCCATGCGGCACACTGTCCTTTTGGCTCACTGAAAGGGAGCTAAAGTAGCTTTTTTTCCTCCAGTCCTGCACATCTCTTCTGCTGCCCACAAAAGGGGGGATGAGGCAGCCTCACCCAGACTGGGCTGCAAAGGGAGAAAAGCTTGTCTTACCTGTAAAGCAAACTAAGCATCTCAATGAGATATTTTCTGCGGATGCATATTAAAGAGGAAGGAGAAGGAAGAGGCACAGTGTATCATCTACAAAAATCACATAAACCCCCCTTGAACACAGCTAGGAATTGAACAAATTACTGTTTGTTTTACTTCGCAAAAGCACTATAGCAAAAACAGTTAGGGAAGCTACTGGTTGCTATATACAAAAACAAGTTGGCAGGAACTTCAAGAAGCATATCCTCTACTGGTAGTGAATGAACCAGGCTTGTTCCACTGTGCAAGCCGCAAACAGGCTGAAGTACCCAAAGTAATTGATGTGTACACTCTAGCACTAAGAAAAATAATTTTCAGAAGAGTGGATGCGCTCTTGTAATAAATGACAAACAGAGTTATATTTCTTTAAGAAACAAACAAAAAAAACTTGTTCCTGATCTTTCAAAGAAAAAAGAAGTAAATTCTCACATTTAATACTTCCTGTCGTAGAGTTGCTGGCTCCACACAGCTGATGAGACGAAGCAAGAGGTCCATCATGGCTGATGTATCTATATGCTTTAGCACCAGGCTAATAAACTTGTCTTTTTTCCTTAAAAATGCAATCACCTAAAAATAAAAACATCACCACCAGTTGTTGGTACAATGTATGGACACGGCAGCACAGAACTTCCTACACTTCACGTTCTTGTTTTAATCAATAAATCTTCATGCAAAATGGCTACTAGCTTGACAAATTCTTCTTCAGAGAACAAAAAGAAGGGAATAACATTCTCATTTCAAGAAAATACTAAATCAAATCTTTTTAGCCATCTCTTCTTTCATCTGTTCCACAAGGAAACCAAGCCCACAGGAACAAGAATATCAAGGACACTGGTGAAGCAGAAGAAATTTTCATTCCACTAAGGCGCTCTGATAAAAACTCTACACTCTTCATTTTAAAAATGAAGTTTGTATTGGAATGCATGTATTGCTAAAACACCACACAGCAAACGTTTCCAACCTCCCCTCTATAGGCAAGAGACTGAGGCATTACTTAGGTGATAAGAAGCTTCTGGGCAATGATCCAAAGGGTGTTATCAATATGTTTTAATACAAACAATAAAGCTCCAGCTTTAGCACAGGAATATCCCAAACTACTGCAGTTCTGAAACAAAATCTATACAAAGGGGCTAAATAAGCCAGCAATTCACTCCAACCCAGGAAGTCTGAAGAGCTTTACAAAGCCTACGTTTCATTCCAACTCTAAAGAGAATCGCTGTTTTTCAACTCTGAGGATTACAATAAGATCATCAGGATACCGCTGATACTGCCATACAACACAAACAACATTAATGCAGGCATTTGTGCATCTGTGTCAGGGCAAACTCAATCACTACCTGTTCAGTTTTTCTTGCAATGAGATTCCCAATAGTCTTGCTGAAGAAACTGGCAAGCAAAGGGTTCAAAGGAGGCTCGTGATCCAAGAAGTCATACAGGATATTCAGCAGAGTTTCATCCCCTCCTAATTTGTCATTGATCTGTGGCACATCAGAGGTCAGCAGTTCACAGGCTGTGTTGGGATATCTAGAAGGACAGAACCAGAGCAACTAAAGGTGAAATGAAAACTCTCAAGAAAATCTTCACTTAAATAAAAGTTCTAAAATGAACAGTAGGATGATCTTCCTTCCTGGAGAGAAGGAAAAAAAAAACACATGAAAAACAAGGGTCAACTATGCTAATGGCACATTTTAAGGATGTGCTATATCCTCAAGCACATCATGCTTTTTTTTTTTTTTTAAAATACTGGAATATACATTTCAGCTGCCCTCAAATTATAGTTCGTTCTGATTTTTAAAAATAATACTTAATCAGTTTCAACACACTTTAAAAAGATCTTAAAATAATTCAATTTGCACAACTAAAATTAATGTAAAATTTGAAGGCTGGCTTGAAGAATGCATATTTTAGCAGGTTTCTGAAATGTCTCTGAAAAATTAATCTTTCCACCACTGAAGCAGAATTAAAAATGAGCATAATAAATTTTCAAATAACAATGAGAGTTCAAATTTAGAGACAGAACATTTGACCTAACACAAGACTCCTAACATATATGACCATACACTATGCACAAGCAAAAAATTCGTCGCCAGCCTTTTTGAGTTTCAACCTTTCACTCATGCCCATAATCTTCTACAAAATTAACTTTTTTTTCCCCATAAAATATTCTCACTTAGAAATTTTTGTTCACTAAAAACAGAATGTGAAATGAAATCTGGTAGCTAATGAAATCCTTTTTTTTTTCTTGGCTTTGTTTTTTGCTCTTCCATATGGTGCTTTTAGAAACAGGTCACATTCATGATCAGAAAAGGTAATAATGTGTTTATAATTAATAATATGTGTATAATTAGACAAAGTCTCAAACATGAAAGCATATACGTACAAATCACAGTAACTTCTAATCACTACTTGTTAGTTTTGCTAATAGATTAATCATCTTCAGACTGGAATTCTACATTAAAAGCAGACTGTAATCTGTAGTTACACTTCATTGTTTTGCAAATGTTTCACTAATTCAGTCTCTCCATTATTCATGTAATGAATGAATCAAACAAATGATGCGAAAAAAGCATCTTAAAAGCATGATACAACCCTGACCTCTGTCTAGCTATTTTTGTCTTTTTTAAAACCTCACTTTGGTGTTTCATTGTTAAATTAATGCCTTAATTCAACGCTCAGGCCACTGTCCATCTATAAAACAGGCTTAAGAAAATTCCTTAGGAAAGACCTGTTCTCTTAGGACTTCATCATCACACAGAGGCTACTGTAATCAGAAATGGTAGCCCATTAGCGCTGTGAAATTGGACCTAGCACTGAACTACAACACTATTTTCATAGTTTCAGTGATAAAGATCATTCTAGAGTCAAAAGGCAGCCGGAGTTTATTTTTAAGCCATGATTTACTCTCACCTCATTAATTGTTTAAAGACTCTGACAGGGTGTGCCTGAGTAGTTCAGTAACTCTAAGTACAAAGAAGCAATTCTGACTACCAAATGTCCCTCTGAGTGACAGTTCTTATCCATCTGCTTCCTAAAGTAGTTTTGATTTGTTATTAAGAAACACCAGAGAAAAAAATAAAACCTATCCTTTTCGGTTTGAGCCATTTTTTCTCCGCAAGTAGAGCTGGCTATTGTTTTTCTCTCAAAAACAAAAAGACAATGTGCTATACATTTTAGAAAACAGTCAATGACATTAGTTATCATAATTATTAAAAACCCTACAGAATAGCTTTGTGGCAAACACACGCTCATTCTTTAAGCAGTGCATTCACTTCCCATATAAAAATTGTGCCATTCCATGAGAGAGACAAACAACAGATTGCCCACTGCTTAGTGATTATGCAAGGCCTACTACCTTTTGCAACCTGAGATATGAGCCAGCTCCAAGACCAATATAAAACACTTTTGCAATAATATAACTGCTTCTACAGAGCAAAGGGAGTACTTTAACTTTTGTAGTACAGTTAGGCTGGAACAATCTTTCAATACACTGCAAGGTTTTTTCTAACTGTAGTCTCAGGAAAAAAAAAAAAAGAAATCACTCAGAAAAGAGCAGTGGAAATGACTAATTCTCATGTCTGCTGACACCTTTGCAAGAAGACCTGTGACTCTACAACAGAATCCAGATTGTAGTGTGTTTATGAACTGTGTTTTTCTCCCTTAGCTGAGATTAGCTAGATTTTTGCTCTAAACTTCGTTAACAGATAATCAAGAAGAAATCATAACACCACCTCCTGAACCTGAATTGGGGCCTGCTACCCCCACCTTTAATCTCCCATCCTTCTAGAGCCAGGTATGTTTTAGTACATCTGACAAGTTTCCGAAGCTAATGACTGCCAATCTGGGAAGAAATTATTGTAGATAGGTCTTTGGAAATTTCAGCTCAGTCCTTGGAGTGATGTGGACACACACAGATTGTTGGAAAGTACAAGAAAGGAACAGAGATGAAAAATGTTGGGTCAACGTGGATTCATGGGATGCTCATATCTCAAGCATGGTATATTTAGTTCGTGCCATCTTAAAACAAAACTGCTAGGATCACTGTCAGAGACAGGAGACTAGGCAAGGTAGATCTTTTCATTTGATCCAGCATGGCTGTCCTTAGTATCTGCACCTCTTTTGTGAGCAGACCTGCAGCTCTCTCTTCAGGGCGCTGTCCGAACGCCTTGCCCTGCCTCTGCATTTGCCCTAGCTCTCCCGCAGGCACTGCTTTCTTGCGGCTTTCCTCCCTGGGCTGGATGCATGTGGCATAACGCCGCAGAATGCTCTGCGGCCATTGACTCCTTTCAATTCTTGGTTCAGGCTTCCCTTCAGACATTGTGATTTCAAATGCATCTCCCTATTCTCACCTTTCCCCCGCTCCAATAGTCTTTACTGTTTTGGTTTTGTTATACTCATTATACAGAATTTCTTTTTGGAAGAAGCTCCACCACCTAAACCTTCTCAATTTAAGCCTTGCTTTATTCCTTACCATTCCATTTAGTTCTTAACAAGGAAAATACTTCTTGCCCTGATAGCAAATAAAGGATGAAGAAAACTGTTAGAGGACAATAGTAACATTTTACGCACACGCATTGAACCGCTTTGCGTGCAGCCCCGTGCTTTGGATTGTGAACACACGCTTCCATTCACTGTTTATTGAATATTGTCAGCATACTGCCCACAAGGACTTCAAGGCCTTCCCTGGGATGTAAGAACTATCACGAAGCCCATCAGTGTGCATGTGCAAATGGGGTCATCTGTCACTACCTTTCATCACCATTGACTCTACTTGCTATTTTATTGCTTGGCCAATCAATATAATGTAATCTTTCTACCATTTCTTTTAGCTAACCTTAACAAGTTTTTCTTGCAAACTCTCTACATTTATAATTCATCCCCCCCTCTTATTTCACATGCAAATACATCAAACAGCACAGGACTCAGAGTTAGTGCAAACCCAGAAAGCTGAACTAGTTTCCCTTGCCTTTATTTCTTCCATTTAAATAGTTATTAATTGACAGAATCCACGGCAGCTTATTTCCAAGAGTCTTTGATAAGGGACTTTTTCCAAAGCTTTTCTGTCCTACTGACATCTCAAGAATAAAGCATCCTGATGATTCCAGTTCTAGACAATGCATCATTCTGAGCTGCAAGTTCTTCCTACCTGTCGACTTTCCCCCATGCCACAGTTTAAAAACTGTTTTTAGGAGCCAAAAATTGGATTCCATTTGGATTTAGACAGAGCCCATTCTTCCCGTTTAAAACTGAATTTATCCCAAAAGCTTCCCAGATTCTAATAAGCTTAAATCCCTTTTCCCCTTTCCACTGTTTCACCACGCTTTGAAAATGCTTCTCTGTTTGGTCCATGTTTGGTACTAGGAGCATTCCCAAAAAGATGCTTTACAAGATCAGTTCTATTTGTCCCAGCAAACATGTGGTTCTCATTGCCATCAAAGACTCACTTATCTCTCTATGCCGAATAATCACATCTTCCACTCCTATACCTGCTTTTCTAAGAGGCCCCTTAAGGACTCCTCTTAGATGAAGCAGAAGATACACTGCCATCATCTGATTAAGAGATTCACAAATGGGATTGTTCCTTTCAACTTAAGGTCTTCCCAACACAAGATTTTCCTCCATCTTGCTGACAGAGGGGACCGCAACACTGGAGGCAGGCCTGTTCTCACCACCATAGCTCTTTGATTATATCTGATGAGCCTACCTGGCCCTTAGGGACCTTACCCTGCCTAAACTGCACACCTACCTTCAAAACCTGCTGAAAGGGCAAATAATCATGCCTGTGAAATTCAAGGCTGCCTGCGAGTAAACACTCTCGTTCTGAGCTTCCCTCTTCTCCTTGGTTTGCATTAAGGTCTTCCGTTTCTTGAGAGATTTTTGTTTCTTTCCCTTCCTCTCCCCAATCCTTCTTTATTCTTAATCTATTTGCGTAGACTAGGAGAAGGTTTCCATTTCTACCCTGTGGCACACAGGATTAGAGATATGAATTGTCCTGTGACAGCAACCATGAAAGTCTCAAGAGAACAGGACTGAAAAATACAGGCTGATTATCTGAAGAAGTAGACTACTCTGCAGTGGTATGGATAATGTATGAATTTAATGTACTGAAATCATTCATGCTCTCCTTCTGCAAAATATGCGTAGAGTGTAGCAAAGGCTCACAAGTCCTCATATCATTCAACACTCTCTCAGCTCATTGACCCTTAGTCCAAAGGAAAGTATTGCCTCTCCTCTTTAGTAAGGGATTTTAGGTTTGAGTTTGTTGCAGCAGGTTAGCTGTGAAAACAATAACGGATAAAGAACTGCAAGAAGTCAAAAGACAGCTGCCTGCCGTGTCCCTGGTTCAAAGGTACCTGTACAAAACTTGCATTTGAAAGATAACAATATAAAAATAATACTCCTGGTTCCTTCTCATAATTCACCTTTTACAGCAATATAATAGTCCAAGTTACTATATAATGTATTTCCGGGCATTCACTTACCTGGAAATAGTCACCAAAAAAACATTTCATCAACTGTCTCATCTAGCATTAAACTTCAACAACACTGACAGTCATTTCTTCTGTGAATTTCTAGCAACAACGGCAATGAGCAACACTGGTCAATTCCTACAGTGACAAACTTACACGTTTTCACGCATTTATTTATATATAGAGCAGTCTTTAATTTTTACATAAGCTGAGCAGAGAAAAGCAAATTTTCCAAATCCAAAATGCACATTTTTTCAAGTATACACTTAGTTAAAATGTATAAACACAACTTGAGATGAGAACTAAACACATTTAAAGAGGTCACCATCATAGCAAAGAGGCTCTTTACATAATCCCTCTCACTAACTAGATAAACACTAAAGTAAATCAGGCGTTTTTGCAGATGTAGCACACTGAAAATATAACATCTTCTATTCTCTATACAGCTCACTTTCTTTTATGGGCTCGACTACTGAAAACTAATCAAGTTCAGAAATCCCTAACTCTCAGAAAACAACTCTCCTTCATTTCTTGCAATTCTGATAACAGAATAATCTACTGAAGGGACTTTGAGATACTGATCATACAGCTTACAAAGTTTTGAACAAACAGCAAGAGACGATTTTTTAGACCAACTAATTGCAAAACCATTAAAAACTAAGAAACAAGCTTCTGAAAATTCACTACAAATAACAAAACACTGTGAAATATTTCAGAGTATTTCATTGAAAGCCTTTTTCCAAGACCTAAAAGATTACATCCATCTTGCACCAGAAAGTTTCCTACATCAAGATCTCTCATTCCGTTTTCTTCTTACAGAATAGAAAACGAATACCTACTTGAAGCGGACCTTCTCATCCATATCCACAGGGGGCTCATGAGTGATGAGGTTGACCAGCTCCTCCATGCAGTGCTGCTGGCAAAGGAAGTCCAGCAGCTTGCGGTTCTGAGCCTTGCACTCCTGTAAGATGTCATCTTCATCCATCAGCTCATGAAGTGTCACATCCTCTTTATCCAGTAGCTTGTCCACATGTGATGTTGTATTCAAATCAAACTTCCAGAACATGATGATGGGACACACCTAGCTGTAATGCAAAAGACGGGGGTTAATCCTCAGTCTTCACTAGGCTTCTCAGCTATTTCCTCCTCCTTTGTATTGCATAACAGTAGGTATACTGAAAAGAATACCTTATAATACAATTGCTAGCAAGCATGTAAAAATCAGTTAAACTCCTTTAACCAAAACTTTTAACATCAGAAAACTAGCACTACTTAGACTACAGCTGTCTTACACCAACAAGGAAGAGGATATATACATGAATTAACTCCATCTGCAAGTAGCTTGAACTGAAATCACTAGAACTGAAATCAAAGAGCACATTCACACATACAAATACTTTGCTGGGTTAGGGTCAAGCCTGTTCACAGACAGGGAAACCATACTCCTCAATAAAAAGTTTGCATTAAAGGGGATTTTTTTGGTATTCTTACTATAGTTCTTCAGAACCCTGCTGGTGGGCCAAAACGGCAACAATCAATGATTTGTGTAAAGGGAAGAAAGGTCTCCAATCTATATATAAAGACAAGAGACAAATAAAGATAGACCATAATTGCATAGCATTAAAAAAAACCATTACTGGGTACTGCAAGCGATAATAATGTCAGCAAACCTATTGCTGAACAGCTTAAAAATATGAAACCTCTCGGAATACTAGCATATATATAAAAATAATTTGCAACTGTAACATCTGCAACTCTAGAACTGGGCTTAAGCAGGATCATTAACCACTACAGGAGAAACGGCGCACACAGTCAATAACTCATAAAGCAGTTCCCTGGACAACAGTGTGTGCAGGAAGATCAAAATCCTGAATTCTAATCTTACCCAGGTGAAAAAATATGCTTAGAGACTAATAGTTTATATCCCCCTAAAGGATGTACAGCTGGGCAGCAAAAATTTGGTCTGTGCAATAATGCACAAATTTTATTCTTGACCATCCTAAAAGGCACAGTATTTAACAATCTCCGCATATCCACTTGTAAATTAGGATGGGTTTGCACATTTTACTAGGTCTTGGGATTGGGACTAACAGGTGTTTACCAACAACAGAAGTGGCAAAAGGATACGATAAATCAAAGCTGGAAATAGAAACTGAAATAACAGTCTACTTTGCATACACTTTTTGGATCTCAAGTCTTCATGAGTATTTGCTGAAAGCAGACTCTCCCCACCATCATTCTCCTTCACAGGATGTTTCACACAAACAACTAAATATAAAAGATTTTCAAACAGTTCTTTGCAAAAGTGATAAAAGCGATACGCTGCATATATTACAAAATGACAGACTAATAAAGACTCACTTGAGCTGCATTCTAGTCCCACAAAACCACAACAAGGTATCTTTCATAAACAGAGGTCCACATATCCCAGCTCTATTTTTTGTCTCCTCTAAGTCTACTTGGAAGTGCTTACAGGACTTCCCTGCTCTAACAGAGCGCTCTCAGCGTTCAAGACCCGCTCTGCTCTTACATCCCCTCTGCCGCGCTTTGCAGTAGTCACCAGTGAGTGACCAGAACTGTACGCTGTGTATCAGACAAGGTTTCACTACAGCCATGCAGAAATGGTATGAATATTCCCCATCAACACGTTTTTACCAAGCATGGAGAACTGCACCTTATATTACTTATTTTGTTCCCATTTCTACCTCTAGCCCTTTCCTTCCTTTTTGTTATCCTGTTTCTTCTCTTTATAAATTCTAACTACTAATTATGCTTTTTCAGTTAATTTCTCCAATAAACTTCAACATTTACAACAGTCATTAATTATATCAAAACAAGATACTGTCCTGACTGATTCTTAAGAAAGTCTTCCAGTGGTCTTCATCCAGCTTAATATTTTCTCTTATAATTCCTTCTTTTAACATCTCACCTAAGGAACTGGCTAATCTACTACAATTCTTCAACCAATTATGACCTTCCATAACCTTAAGTTATGACAATCATGCCAAGTATCTTATTGATGTCCAAAAGGAAACAAGATTTACTAAACTTCTTTTGTTTAAAGTAGTGGAAAGAAAGAGTTCAGATTAGTATGGCACAATTTAAATTATTGAACTTTATTTCATTTTTTATTGCTGTATCTTTAACTGTTACCTATAGGGAGCAAGAAGTTGCAATCCACCTCTTCCTTCTTTCCTAGTAATACTTTCAGTGTCTTCATAAAGTAAGGTAACTTTAATTCCTCATCAACAGATGGCTGTACTTCAAAAAGCAGCTAAGTCATTTCATTATCTGAGAATTTGTGTACAGCCTTTCATTTCTGGCTCCTATTAAGTGCTTCAGACTAAATTCTTCTTCAGACATTATCTCACCCTCACTCAAAATCCATGGCTCTATAACATTTACACAAGTCTAAAACAGCTTCTGAAAGAAAAGGAGCCCTGTGCAAGAAGAGCCAGCGCACAAGGAGGCAGTGCATCCTTGGCTCTTGATGGTACACAGAAGATCAGCTGAAATATGAGACCTGAAGCAACAGCATCCTGCTGTAGGCTACAGAGACCAAAGACGGTTTCAAGAAACAAACAGTCATTAACACTACAGAAAATAAGGGAATAATTGTTACTTCCCATTGACAAAGAGGATAAGCATAGTTCAAGCAAAATAAAAATAAATTCTGTAGAGTAACTCTGTTGAGCTAAAATGTATCTTAAAAAAGGAAATAACTGCTTGTGAGATATGAATGTTCCACATTCCCAAAACATTTAAGTGTGTAATTTTCTACAGCAGTATCACAATGCTTTTACCTGACTCACATTACTCTTTCAGCAGCAGCAGGACCACTTGCTCAAACCACTCTTTTTTGTTTTCCCCCAGCAACCCAAAACGTTACCACACCTGATCTTCTGCCAGTTCCATTGCTTGCATAACTACATCTAGAGATAAAATTGTGAAATCTCCCTTTTTAGAAACAAGCAAAAGCAGACCCTTTTTTTCCCCATGAAGATCTACTGAAGGAGAGGGGCAGTTGCTTTTTTTTAAACCAGGCAATTTCAAGAGGTCAGAACGAGGCCCCACTGGGTGCTGAACTAGCACAATGAAAGGAGCAGGAACACGTCTGTGGGGCATCTTACCGCATCTGCCGCTAACACAAAAGTAACACGGACCCACGTTCTCAGGCTGAGCTTAGTTCGAAGGATAAAACTGTTTTTTATCAAACTGGAGAAAACCTTAGCGTTTAAGTGCTCTGCTTTCAAGTTATCATTGCCGTTACCAGGGCAATTTAAAAGGTTAAGTACCCAAATTTTCTAATTACATATGTTTAAATGTCTGGGTCCATTTCAGTATAACTTTCACACTAAACCCCCAGGATTTTGGAAAACTGAAGGACCTATAGTAATTACTAAATGAAACATTAAATGAAACTCACTAATTTTTACCAATTAAATTATTGACATGCATTCCCTACCGTAGCCCAGTTTCTCAATTTAAGGATTCTTTGCGCGCGCATGTGTCTAAGAATTTAAAAAAAAAACGATTTCCTTATCAAATTAAGTCTATTGTTTTCTTGGAATAGCTCTGTTACCCTGGATATTTGATAGCAAACTCTCTAGAGTGGCACTTAGAGCTTCAAAATTTGTCACAGATAATCCTTCTGTTTCAGAGAGCTTTACTTTATTTCAAAATCAATTTTTTCAATCTCCTTATTCAGCTCAGAGATTTAGAAAAAATGAAGAAAAATCACTGCAAGCCTGTCTTTTGTGACACAGCACTGCTGATATGACAAAGCCCATGATACTGTCCTATTCAAATGTACTAGTGCTGCAAGATTAGATAATAAACAGAACATTCAAGCTATGAACTATCAAACCATATAAAGTACAACCCCATTATAACTATCTTTCTCTTCCCTCAATTCTCCTACACGTCCCATTTCTAACTGCCTTTGCTTTCAAATTAGACTTCCAGCATGCTGAGACAGAGATCACATATACCATATGCGAAAAGTATGGTCCTGACCCCACCAGAAACAGAGCTAAGATCCTCATCAAATACCACAGCTAGAAAAGCACTTCACACTTACAAAGTTCCTTTTACGTATCAGGTATCAAACATTTCTAGTCAAACTTGCAGCATGAAGTTTATCGTAAAGCCACTCATGAATATCAGCCTATAAGCTTTATTTATGGTAGGCCCAAGTACAGAGTTACAAGGCTGGAAAAAAGTTGTCCAAAAAACAGCTTACCAAAATTTCCTATAGGGCCCAACCATTGCCATTTCCTAAACTTTTTCCAAATTGCCATATTAATTAATTAATTAGTCTCACCCCAATCTTTTGGGAACTAGCTTCCCAACAGAAATTAGCATAAAACATGGCAGAAAGAGAAGTAGATTCTATTTTGAGCTGTTTAAATCAAAACTATCTTGAAACTTAAAAATATATATATAGCATTATAGGAGTAAGCAAGAGCTTCTGCACATCTGTCCATTCAGCCAACCGAAAATAAACAACTGAATTTCTGAGTCAGACATCTGAATCGCCAAGCTTTGTGACGTTTTATGAAAGTAATGCTACTTGGCTGTGTAGTGCGTTCATTGCAAACATTTCTTCAGAGATTTATAACTAACTGTAGTTAGTTATAAATTCAGAGTGAAAAGATGATATAAAAGGCCTCAAACTAAGAAGGTTGGGGGGCACTGTTAATCTAAATATATATATGGAATGTACGTGTAAATCTTACTTTTCACATTCAAAATCATTACAAAACTGCCAATTCTACAGGTTTTCAAAACCTTTTATGCATATATAGGAAAAGCTGCCCAATCTGTAGGAAACGCCCTAACAGGTTGTCCTTAGGAAAGGCACTCAACTCTTTTCTCTCTTCTCTTCGCTCTCCCATCACTCTACCCGAAGCATGTGCAACAAGATGCCCACCCCACCCCCCGCCTCTCCAAAAAAAGCTCTTCTAGTTACAGTTATCTTTCAGGCTACTCAATAAAATGCAGCAACAGAGATTTGGAAATGACTGTTCATGGTATATGACAGTTATGCCAAAGCGGGTGCCCAAGCAATCAACCCAGGTTTTGT